CATGTGATGTGTGATGTTATGTGATATGTGTTATCACGGTGTAGCGACAATAACAGCTACCATTACATCAAGGACAAATAAAACATTAAATAATATACTAAAATATTCATCTATCCCAGTGGTTTATCTTTCATTTTAACAAATGTATTCATCAAGCAATGCTTCTGAACAACAAAGTTTTCCATAATATGCTGTTCTTATACTGTGCAGTGCTGGTTTAGCAAGATGATAGTCCTTACCTGTTTAATCCTAAAACTCTGTGCCCTTACATACAACATGTTACATATAATATATTAAACATATGACATTTTTTTTGGCCACACATATTAAATACAAACGTTCTTTGGTTGCACTAAACTGACCTCTCATGAGTCGATTCACTGTTTTATTTTCTGCATAGGCATACATTATCATTGTCATCACAAAATCACGCATCTCTGTAATGGTTACTTTACAGAAGTATATTGCTGGTGTCAGAAGAAAACCTCATATCTCCATTTTTATGACATAATTGTAAAAATGCCTGTCGCCCTTTAGATTGAGTGTAAATTTCATGATGAATGGACCTAAAGAAACAGCCCAGAATGACTTGGAAAAAAGTCTGGTTCCATTGACTTACATTTAAACTATTTTGGAGATACAAGGTTTTCCTCCGACAACAGCGATATGTTAATGTATCGAGTTTTAGACTATTTTGGGCCATTTCTGTTTTACCTTTATTATAAAACATCAGCATGCTGTACATTTCAGCTGATGTTTTCAAACACCCTCTTAAAAAGAGCTCTAAAAAACACTTTTGATTCCCTAAACAAGCTTTCAATGAATGGTTCTTATTTGTAAATAATATATTCAAGTGCGATGCATGTTTTTAAAGTCCAGAGGAACCTTTATTTAGAACCTTATATATAACATAGTGAGAAACAATAACAGTAAGCATCTAGCTGTTCCTGGTTAGAATTCCTGCTTTTGTACACTTTTACTCCATGATAGTGCAAGGTCGCAGGAATTTGAAAGCAGTCGAAATGCCCAGCAGTTGCTGAGCAGTGCATGAATTTGTTAAGTGGTGAAAGATGGGCCTAATGACTTGGGCGGACTCCAAAGTGCCTGTAGACCTGAAAGCTGATGTTGGCTGGGGAGAAGGCAGGCCCTCCCCCCACTTGTCTAGCCTTTCCCCAGACCCCCTGACTGGGATTCCTCTTCCTCCTCTTGTCCTCCCCTCTGCTCGGGAGTAGCAGCAGCGGTCCCTCCCCAGATCTCAGGAGGAATGCTGCTGAAAAAAGGATGCATCCATAGTTAAACAGCATGTGGTAACACTTTCAACAATGCTGTCACTTTGATTCACTCAATGGGGCTGTGTAGAAGAAGCAGCAGTAACTGAGGGGTTTAGCATGCCAATGAAATCAATGCTGGTACTGCTGAGACAAAGTGGCATTGCCGTCCCAGAGGACTTACGTTGGCATTTGTTTGACAAACGAGAAGCGCTCACATCATCACTGTCAGAGTAGTTGTGCCACACTGCACCCTCCACAGAATTAGGGTTAGCATGCTGGAGGAACAGTTGGTTCTCTGTCCTTCAATAATGAAAATGTCATAGACTTGTCACAGGTGTGCTTTATGCTTGTGCACAATGTGTCAAGCACTAAGTTAAACTTAGTTGAAAGTAATATGTTAAGTTTTTTTTTTGTTTGTTTTCAGCAGATCTAGAGTTGCTTACAATTCAGCAAGTGGCAGGTTAGGCTGTGTTCACAAGGGCATTATGGTATGCATAAAAATGCAACTTTGCCACTGTTTTCAACAACAAACACCCAGGGTCATTCAATGTGAAGCACTGCTTTTATGAAGCATTCAAATTTATTTGAGGGATAATGGCAGTTAACACCTTTTTTATTTTCAATGTGTTAAACATGAGTGAGTGAGTGATTTACAAGCCAGTTCCATGAGATGCTTCACATCTAACAATGCACTGATGGACAACAGACACCAATGTATGGCAGTGCTTGAATATTAAGTGCCATTGTACGTTTAAAAAGTTCACCAGGGTTGAACATTTGAAAAAATGTACTCAGACGTTGCCATGTATCAACTAATAGGAGACGGTTCATGGTGGGGCTTCAGTCAGTCAGATACTAATCGTTGCTCACACCAGAGCTTCATATTGACTAGAGAGCTACACAAGGATTAAATGCTTTACCCAGTCCAACACCATCCTTACACCATTCAGACATTTCAACACCATCCCCACCCTATCCTCACATTTCAAAACCATCTCCACTCCATCCCCACACGTTTCAACACTGACCCCACCCTGTCCACACGTTTCAATACCATCCCCACTCCATCCCCACTTCTTTCAACAATGTCCCCACCCTATCCTCACGTTTCAATACCATTCCCACTCCATCCCCACCTGTTTCAACACTCACCCCATACCTGTGTGCCCCTGCACCACCCCCTAAATAGTAATAAGTGACCATTCACTGTTTTCATCACCATTTCCATGGGAAAATCATAAAGTTTGATCCCCATTCCAGCTTTCATTGTGGAAAAAATTCAATTTTGTCTCCATACCAGCGGATTACTGCAGAAATCCAGAGTGTCACTGCTATCCCTGTTCCCCTGCAGCTCTATAATGCGGACACCTCATAGCTGGTTTATTGCGTATACCCACATGCATCTTTTTTACTTCCTACTTTCAGCAGTGTTCTCTCATGAGCATTTAGTTCAACAATTCACTGTTCACAACAAAAATCCACTGTTCTCTGTCCATATTCACCCTTGTGAATTTCACCTTATAGGACCAAGGTTGTGTCTAGCAATTAGCCAGTAATATGTAACTAAATGTGCAGCAGACAAAATATAATGGAGATAAAAATCAGTGGGCCAGATTAATAAAACACAGCGGCAGGTTTACTATGACGGTCTGAGCAAATTCAGTCTGGTCATTTATAAACAAGGATTACTGTTGGAGTACCAGTGGTTCTACTAATGGTGGGTGATCTGGCAAAAATATAATATCGCGATACTTCATGAAATTTTCAGCGTACATGGTATGTAACAATATTTATTTTTTTCAGACACCTGATCAGTTGAAACTGAGAAAAGAGAACCAGTAGTGTTACATTTTAAAAATCTATCAAAAACTATCAAAAACCATGAACCCAATGAATTTTTTTTTAGATATTTGGCAAACTGTGTTGCACTAAATCCAGTTAAATGGGACTAATTTTACTTTATAATGAAACATGCAGTTGGTCAGTGTTTGAGTACTGATGATATCCACAATATGTTCAAAAAAGCATATTGTGTTGTATTGTAACATAATTTATCATGATAACGATATATATTGGCATACTGCCAAGCCCTAGTTTCTACACAGAACTTAGTAAGCATGAGTTACTTACCGGAACTGTAGCAAACAAAGAATACATGATAGCGCAACAGTACAAATAGTCAAATACATGAGGTTTTGTATGTCAAAAAGACTTTCTTTCCTACTAAGGCAAGATTTTTTTTTAAACCGAGTAAAGCACAATGTGATCAGACAACTTGTTATTTGTAAACAGCTCAGTTCTTTGGTTGTGCCACACAGGACATGTTCTTTAACTGTTTTTCAGCATTTCCGCCTTCGTGAACATGCTGAACATCAAAATGCTTGTTGGCACATCAGTGTGCTGGCTGGCAATGTTTGCGCCACTGAAGAGACACCAGCACTGTCCTCTGAGTGTACTTGCAAATGGATACATTTTATTTATGGATAAAGCATACTCAGAGGACAGTGCTGGTGTCTCTTCAACTGTACAAAGCTTTCTAGCCAGCACACTTCTGCTGGCCAGCATACATTTGCCCACTTAAGCAATTGCTCTAGTGGGATAAAAGTTATGTTAATTAATAGAAGTTAAATAGATACATTTTAAAGGTAAAGCTCAGTTCAGTTTCAAGTATATCTGTATAAGAGAGCTTATCTAATGCTCTTAGACAGTGAAGAACCATGGCTTTTAGAGTTGGGCCTTCAGTTTGGGCCATAAATGTCAAAGACTCAGTAAAAACGAGACAAAAACACCTCTATAATAATCCCCTATGCGATTTTAGTAATATGTTAACAGTCACTGACCTATCTCTGTTTTCTGAATGACCTAAAGTGATGTTTTTCTTTGTGGCATTGGTCTCAACCACTGGAAAATGTAATTGGTTGATTCCACTGTCAATTCCTAATTATAATGGTAGTTAAACTGACAGATTAGGCCTTCAGTCCAGCTCCTGGAGTTCTAACCAAAGGGAGAGTTTTCTTAGCTGTATCTACCTTGGATACCACAAGGAGAAAATTCCTGATTGGATAATTTTCCATTGACCATTTCAAGATTTTAACCTTTTTTAAAAAGAGTCTTACTGTTTCTATATAAATAACTGTAATTTGTGTTTTTTATAATGATTTATTGTATTCAGCTGTTAAAGTGGTCTATCTGGCTAATTGGCAATCTTGTTTGCTAGCTCTTGATATTTAGTAGCTCCCAACTGGCAACTGAAACAGGTAGAGCTCATATAAACAAACATTTCTCACATTTGCAGCCATTTTGATAGAGCTATGGCTTCTAAACATTATAGCACCAGTCAATAGTTTGAACTTTTGTCGTTGTCGTAATGTATCTCAATACATTTGTTCTGCTTCCTTTTATTTACATGTATTGGACTCAAACCAATGAATGAAAATGCATCCAGCTCACATTCTGTTTGTTGCTGTGAAAATATGATTGCGAAGCAACTGGATAAAATAATTGTGGTCAGCTTAAATAATTGCTGTCAGCTCATATATTTGTGGCCAGGTGATTATGTAATAATTGTGACACTAATAATTATGAGCCCTAAATTACAGATATGTATTTTTTCATTACCTTACAGAAATCATTAGGCCTAGAAGGCCCTAAGGGTGTCCCTCTGCTATTAGATGTTACACGAGCTATGGCTGTTTAAATTAACCAAATTTTTTTGTTTCTTTGGTGTAGATTCGATGGACTAAGACAGCAGGCAGCGTGTCGGACCGATTTCAGGACACAAGCGTGTTCAATGAGACGCTTCACATTGCCAAGATCCAGAGGCACCAAGGTGGACGCTACTACTGCAAGGCAGAAAACGGCCTGGGCTCACCAGCCATTAAGTCCATCAGAGTGGACGTCTACTGTGAGTACTCCACAAAAATGGCTGCAAATGAAAACTTTAAAGACTTGATTTCTTCCCTACTCTATTTTAAATATACAGCGTGTTAATATGACACCTTTAAATGACGTGTTAGTGCTTTGATTACTCACTAAAAGTTTATGAAGCCTAGAACTCTCTGGTCCAGGTATAAAAGAAAGCACTTAGCACAGCTTTGCTATATCGACATCAGTGTTTGGGCTGTACATTTAGCAGCCCTGTGTTATTTCTGATATTGATTATGGATTGGATACTTGAGGTTGCAATTCATTGCGCCTCCAAGGCTTCACCCTCAATTACTCCTTGAGTACTCAAAATCAGCTTGCGGCTCACATATTGATGAGTTTAATACACTAGACCTACAACCATCAATGAAATGGCTGATTTTACTTGTCAAGGACAAACATATGTACAAGGAACTAACACACTGAGAACTCACCTCTTTCTAAAGGGAGCTTAATTCTCCCACTGAACAGGTTTTAGACTTAGCAATTGTGGTACTATATCAGCACATTTATATTATATTTATGTAATATTAATTCGAAACCTCCACACCCTCCAACCCAACGTATATTTAGTATAATCATGCATAAACTAGAACATGTTTTTGATGAGCATTAATTCAGTTGTGCCTTTGTGAACCTTTTACTAATTCATTTGAGACACACACTAGTTTGTAAAAGTTCGAAATCACTTGTTACATAAGCATGTGTTTTCATTTACATAAATAATAATAATAAAATAATAATGTATAGACATTACATCTTATGAACCACACACCAAAATACATTTTTACATGTTTTTATTTTCAATATTACAAGGATTGTCAGTTAATATATAATGTAAATTACATACTGTAATTTTCTATACTGAAATATTCTAGTTTTGTCAGGTTATCTGCTTTAAGATTTGATATAAGGCATTCTGGTTATGTTACATTTATTATAACTTCATTCTTCCTGTATATTCTGTTATTCAGTCTTATCTTTTTTAAAGATTTTATAAATTTTTGATTCCTTTATTTATTTGATTCTTTTTTTCTCTTTGAATTATTTAAAGTGAAAATTTAGATTAATCAAATAGTTTGTACAAAAGCCTCTGAATGAACCGAATCATTCTAACCAGGACTCAAAAAAAAACATTTTTTCCGAATTTTGTGGAAGGGCTAATGACCTTGGCATTGCACCATGAAGGTCACTTGGGTTCTTCTTTATGATGATTGTATGAAAGAGGGACCAGGGTATTGCATGTCAACATAAAAGTCCTTTGTTTTCGGTTGTGCTGCCTGACATTTGAAGAAGTAAGAACTTTTTTCAGCACATTGAGCGCTTTAAAGGTTTTTATTTTGAAGCTTTAAAGATAAAATCATGTAAAAATTATTTTATTCAGAACTTGGTGACCTTTTTTATTTTATCACCAAATGTGGGCAGACTGTTGTACCACCTGGGATTTTTAGACTTGTGCAGGCAAAAAGAAAGTATAATGAATTTTATATTGATGCACTGAATTATTTTTATTGTTGAATAATAGCAATAATGGCAAAAAAAGCATGACATATATGTATATATTACCCATGACAGTCTCTGAGTCTACTTCATGTGACCGCTGCAAAAACATCTGTCTCACATCATCATATGGATCAACACAATTACACAAGGCAAGAAAATGCAGATGCATCAGGCTCTGTTTTTGGACCATGTCATTATCTTCAGTGACATATTCTCAATTTTTAAGTGATAAAGTCACATTTCTTATTACACCACATTTATGTTAACAGCCAATACATGTTTGGTGTTTGAGAGCTATGAGGCTAATGTAGCTAGCAATTATGATAAGCTTTGGACACCATGATCATGGCTGATCACCTGCTTTTTTTTGTTTTTGTTTTTTTAAACAAAACCTTTAACCAGCAAGTATGAAAGTAAAGCTACACCTGTTGTGGTAAGATGCTGGATCTGGCAGAGGCGAAGGTGCATGGTTATTTACTTACAGGATGCTTTCATCCAGAACCTCCCCAATCTGCCTGTCAACTCTGATAGAATACGCCCTCTCATCTTTTTCATGGTTTACACAGAGGTCCCCTTCCTGTCTGTTTTAGCTTTCTCTTTCTTTTTTGTCCACATTGCACGCAGCACACATGCTTGTTGTTTTGGCTCTGATGCAAGCTTAGCCCAGGAGACTAAAGGTTTGACAATTGAAGGTTACTGGTGAAAAGCTCTGCGAACTGTGAAAGGAGCACATACATTTATTATACTGAAGTGCTCCGGTGAAATCTTATCTCAAAACATTATCTGCTGTGTGGAAATGAAAAACTGTGACAGTTTCCTTTATTATCGAATATGCCGCAATTTCAAAAGCTATGAATTCAATATTTTGTGGCTGTTTAGGACATAATGATGCTCTAAAAGCCCAACATCAGGAATGAGTCAAACAGCTTTTTCTGTAGATGAATGTCAGGACCTTAAATGCATCACCTTCAGTTGAATTGCTCCAAAACTGAGAGCACTCAAGCTCTCACAAGAGCTCCATTCCATTCTAGAAAGCATTCTTTTCTATCTTCCATGAGGATCCATTTCCCAATACTGATACAAGTTTTTCATGAGAGTGGTAAGAGAAGTCTCTCTGATTGACAGAAGAAGTCTTTCTCCAAGGGCTGTGCATCATCTTCACTGATTTTCTGACTCTAGACAGGCGCAGAGCAGGGAAAAGGTTTTATTTTTTTTATATGGAAGCCAGTAGGAACTGCTTTAGGGCTGAGAGAATGCTGTACATGCTTTGGATTGTCTGTCTGCCAGACCTAGCCAGTGCTGAGATGTCCTCTGTGCAGGTCAGGCAGACATCCAGGGATCCCCTAAGGTTTCTGGAGGTCTGGAGATTGGAGACTGAGTCACCGTCCAGGGACTGAAAAGGGTCTTGGCGAGGCCTTCAGTCAGTGAAGTAGAGTCTCAGGAGACAGGAAATGAGCAGCACTCTGGTGCCTTCAGCTTTTGCTGTCTCTGTCTCGTAACTTCTCTGTCTCTGCAGTTTCTCACATCTAACTCTAAAAAAATAAAGGTTTATAAATTGTTCTTTGCTTAGATATATATCCCATTTAATTGGTATGAAACATTTACGCTATGTAGAAGTTCTTCAAACCTAAAAAAGGCTCTTTGCACATAGCATTTAATTTTTTGAACAGATCTTTTGAAAACACAAGTTGTTCTTCTGTGGCATCGCTCTAAAGAATCTTTCCTGGTGCCTTTGTTTTTAAGAGTGTATATCATTGCATTAAGTTTTTGCAGCCCAGTCCACGCCTGGGCAATGGACAGGAAATGAGGGAGCAGCAGACATGTTATGTTGACAAAGATGAAATCAGACTTGTGGACATCTGACCGGCTGATCTGCTGTTTACCTGCTCGTGTGAAAGCACAGAGATACCCCGGTCTTCAGACATTGGGTCTGCTTGTACTCTTGTGCTCAGCTGTAGTCAGTAGTTCCACTGAAAAAAGTGATTCACTGGATTTATGCGTACATCATTTTCACATGAATTAAATATACAACATCAATCCAGTCTCGTCTTTCAGTTTACTTACTTTTGGCAATAACTGTGCTGATGCAACGTATTTTATTCATGTGGAAATGATGTGCCCATTTGAATCAAGAAAATCCAGTGCATCACTTTTTCAGTGCTGATGCTGTCATCTCATGTCTTAAGCATGAGTTCTTTATCTCTGGGCTTGGGCTGCCATTCAATCCTAGTACATCACTATCGATTGCATATGTCACTGATTCAGAGCAGGTATGGAGTCAACAGGATATTTACTGTATACTCACTAGACTACTAGCATTTCCATATCATCATTGTCATATTATTCATTTATTTGTTTACGTTGTTTGAAAATGCCAGCGGCCCCCTACATTGTGTGAGCTGGATCAAGAGAAATGATCTAAAATTACTAGAAATAAAATTGCTTTACATCACCTGCTTTAAAAGTATATATATATATATATATATATATATATATATATATATATATATATATATATATATATATATATGTATATATACGCCCCATAATGAAAATTAATAGCATATTGAGAAAAACAAAATACCTAACATTAGTTTCATACTAAATGAAAGCATTCAGAGGTTTTAGTGTTATATATATGTAATAACCAGTTTGATTCTTTTTTAACATTTGCTTTTTTGGCTGTCTTGGAAAAGTTATTTTAGCACATCTCCAACAGTTTTTTTCATCACCACAGGGCTGATTGATTGTCAAGGCTGAAACTTGATTGTCACCTTACTCTGTAACAATTGGTTTTTGATTCAACCTAAAAAGCTTGCTTCATGTGGTTCAGTAATTTAACTGGTTTCATTCAAGTCAAATAAATACATAGGAGAAAATGATGCAAAGCAAAATTTAAGTTTTGATAAACAAAAGTTATGTTTTAGATCGAACCTCAAAAATATTTCAGATCAGCCTCTACCCTGTTCTACTTTTTATAGACTACAGCAAATTAGACTGCACCACTGAGTCAAACCTCACTGTTCCATCCACAGAATCCGCTTCCTGCGTTCTGCAAAATATCATCTTTATAAGGAGTATTTTCATGACAGCTTGAAAAAAGTGCTATACTATTTTTCCAAAATCAAATCTGACTTTGTTTTGAAAAAGCAGAAACTTGACTTGTGTGCCAGCAGATTTTGATAATGGTGATTTTCACTGTCAATCAAAGCTCACAAAATAGCTACTCACTCTCACTTACTGATGCATGAGAAGAAACCTGATGGCAAGCGAGCCTGGATCACTAGCATGAGAATTTGCAAGGTCTAATCCACCTATTAGAAGTGAATATTTTTGAGAAAGTAGGTCTGTATTTCAGTCACAGTGTGATCTAACTCAGGCAAGCATTAGTAATTCTTTTGGCATGCTTGAGGATGTAGCTTGGGAAGCTGCAGTTTTGATGTTTGAGAAGTGATAACAGCTGTTGTTTTAAACATA